AGAACTCATTCTCTGATTTGAACGAGCAAACTTTCAAAAATCGTGTTTTTAAAAACCTCTGTTTTCTCTTCAATTTAAGTTTTTCAAGTGGGTTTTTCTTGCATTTCATAAACCTTGCTTCCGTTCATGATGTAGACAACGTTGCGGGGCTAACTTCTATGATTGTGGTGAAATATTTAGCGCAAAGCTGCAAAAGTGCGTCTTTGTTCATGAGCTTTTATTGGAGTTAGTAAGCAACCATTTCTTACACGCTCGCGGGCATTTTGCTGAGGATTACAACCACAACAAAGCTGACAACGTCGCCAAAACAGAAGCTACGAGAAGGGGATAAAATTTAAAGGGCGCATCAAATTAAGTTATGCTCGATATGAAGTTCGACTTAGGAAAAAATAAAACTCAACGTTTTCATAACTCAATGTTTTTTGTTTATTTTCTTCTTGATATCACCGTTTCCAGAATGGTTTAAAACCAATCACAAAGAAAAAACTAGCTTTCCCTCAATTTTCCCTGTACTGTGGATTGCCTTGTCCTGTAATGAAAACCTGCAATTCCGCCAAACGAAAAATATCGAATTGACTGCGGCGTTTTATTAGGTTTTCGAAAGCTTCTTCTGCTTTTGCTTATTGTTTTGTATCCTTTCCTCTTCTTTGTTTGCCTATGAACAACTTTTACTTTTCATGAGGGGAGGGGGGCAGATACTTAAACAACCTTTTGACGCACTATCTCTAGACTATTGAAGATATGGTGCAGAGTTAAGTCGTTATCCTTCGCTTGCCAGATATCATTTAGTTTTGTGCTTCTCACGGGTGGCGGGCTTTATGAACGATAACGCGTGCTTAGGCAGGCATTTATCACTAAGGTGCGCACCGTTGCCCTCTAGCTGGATGAAAGAGTTTTCTATAGATAGCTCTAGCATTGGTTCATGTCATATTCATAGTCCACTAAAAGCAGTTTTTGACAGTAAGCAATAAGCTTGTGAGAAGCTTGTTCTTTCTTTACTAAAAATCTCAACAAAATCTTGACTTATTATCTTGTTGGTTTTTTTGACCAGTCAATGAAATATTACATGTTCACTGTAAAATTTGCAAGTTTTGTTGAGCTAACTTTGTGAATGACCAAATGTGTAATATCCAAGTCGCTATTTTTCCGTTATCCGGACCCATTTTTTCAATTAACGATATTGCTTCTATCCTTTACCATATTTGGTCCCAACTTAATGGGAAAAAGTGTCAACCTTTTGCCTCGTGTCAAGAAATTTTGACATGTCATTTACATGTTTAACAGGTTTTATCGAAAGTTTATGTTACCCTACTTAGCAACGTAAGTTCAATGTTTTTTAGTCAACTTTGGTCGCAATTCGATCAAACAGTCTCAAAGTGAACATTTCATGATAGTAACGACGTACTATAACGATGAAAAGTCTAGACTTGCTCAGAATAGAGAAGTGCGCAAGGTTACGTCATTTGAGAGGCGAAACAAGCAGCAGCGATGTACTTTAGACTATTATATTAGGGTGAATGGTAAAAAATGGGACACTTACGAAATAAGAGGTTTCTCAAGAAAGAGAAGTGATTAGACATTATGTTATTCTCTTTCAGATAATCATGACTTATAATAACGGGCTAAGGGTGTTTATGTGACTTTGTATGTGTGTGTGTGTGTGTGTGTGTGTGTGTGTGTGTGTGTGTGTGTGTGTGTGTGTGTGTGTGTGTGTGTGTGTGTGTGTGTGTGTGTGTGTGTGTGTGTGTGTGTGTGTGTGTGTGTGTGTGTGTGTGTGTGTGTGTGTGTGTGTGTGTGTGTGTGTGTGTGTGTGTGTGTGTGTGTGTGTGTGTGTGTGTGTGTGTGTGTGTGTGTGTGTGTGTGTGTGTGTGTGTGTGTGTGTGTGTGTGTGTGTGTGTGTGTGTGTGTGTGTGTGTGTGTGTGTGTGTGTGTGTGTGTGTGTGTGTGTGTGTGCTACGAAATTCTTGGAGCGTGTTCCAGCCGTGTTCTAAGCCCGAATTTTGTATAGCGCATGCTACCTTCATGAAAGTCTAACATACAAAAGCACGAGTAGATTCGTTAAGCGGATCCCTCAGAAATTGCGCGCCAAAAGGGTCCACCTGGCTTCTGTATCGCAAAATTCGGTCCGTATCATCACTTTTTGCAGAGTCGTGGATGAGTTTGGTAAGCAAATGTGCAAGCGATGGAGTTTAGCCAGAAAAGTGGTCGAAAGTTTACTACATAACGAAAACGGCGCCAAAACGAATTGGTTGTGTAAATGGTCAATTTGCCAAGGTTCTAGCTAAGCGTTTGAGAAGATTTTCGCACAGAGATGTAGCTCACGGTTATCATTACCTTTATGGCGACTACCAAGTCATGACATATCCAAAAACCTATTCAAATTTGCGTTTGTCTTCCTGCGAAAAGTTTCATCCACGCGAAATCACCGATCTCACGTGAAAAGACGTACTAAATGAGTGGTTGTTTACATTTTATTCGTGGTAGTCGGCATAGCGCGGTGAGTTCCAGTGCCACGATTTTGCGAGAATGAGTAAGGCACATAGATAGTAGAGCCAGTGCGAACCTCTGCGAAGCAGAGGTGACGCACTGGTACCTACATAAGGTCATTTACATAATTAATAATTTTTATACTTGTTGGAATGCAAAGTTAATCACTTCGACAAATTATGAAGTTTGAGCAGTATGAGCGCAGTGAAACATCTGAGACCACCCAAAGTACCACTGCTGGAGTGGGTGGTTGGGACATCCACCAAACCCACGAAGGCTTGTTGGCCCCAACTTCCACAGGAGATATGGCCACTAGCACTTTCGAGAACAAAGATACGCGATACAAAGATGCGTTATTTAATTCCTTGCAGGTGAACGCATGTTTTCTAGGTACCATTTGACACAATTTTTCACGCTCCGTCCATTCATGTGCAGCTTGCCCCAGATTCTACCTATTTTCGGAAAATATAGGGCAAAACATTATTTTTTGGTTTTTTATTGCGCCGAAAATAGCTATTTTTCAGGTTTTTTCGCTTTTTTCTGAAATTAAAAAGAAATCTTAGGCAACATATCGTTTGAAAAAACATGAAAAGCTCTTTCAAATGGTATATCATTTGCTTTACGACTTCACGGTATAGCAGTGCAAGATTGAGAGTTGTTAAAAAAACCTTTCGGAGTTCTTCACGACGCCACGCGTACGGTTATGAGAGAGGAGCGGTAACGCGTTGCCAGAGTAATAGGCGAAGGCCGGTTATGTAAGCGACGTTTGAGTTGCAGCCTGCTTGTTATTGGTGAGGACAAAAAATCTCAAAATGTAATAAAAATCAAACTGTCCCATTTTTTACCGTTCACCCTAATATTAGGTTGGTGCAGAAATTTTGTCATATTCAATCCATCGGCAAACACGCTAGAATGAAGATAAACAAATATTTCAAAATGTCTCCGATGCAGAATTTCTTCCTCTTTTCAGCAGCTGAACTTACATTGTGTTTCGTTGAGAGAATGATGAGATGTTTGCTGGAAGTTGCAACCATTGTTTTTACCATGTCCAACTTTCACTAACTTTCAAAAATTTTTGTATGAGACTTTCGGAGGGGTTCTAATAACCACCAGATAGGGCAAACCTTTTGCCAACTTGTGCAATTTTTTTTAGCTGCTTTTCACGTTTTTGTTAAATAAATTCCTAAAAGTGTTTTATTTTGCAAAAATCGCATAGCCTGTTAATGCACAAACACTGCAAAACCTACAGAATACTGAGGTTTCAACACTCGATTATTACTACCGCGACCACTACAAAATAAATGAGCCATTCTCGCTTCGAATTATGAAGATTTTGAAACATAGGGTTACGTCAGTGCGCACTCCTGAAATTGAGAAATACTGCGATTTTCCCCACAAATTTCGCCTGCCTCGGCAAAAAAAGACAAGTGCTGGAAGGAGGAGAAAAGTTGCATCGAATGGTGACTGAAGTGTTCAACATTTTATGTTCTACGAGGCTAAAATAGGCTGAATGTAAAATTTGGTCGCTTCAAAAAATAAATCGTAGAAATTCTGAAAGACAAGCAGTAGGGCTACAAAAATTGCACTAGTTGGCAAAAGGTTTGCCCTATCTGCTGGTTAATAGGGCTTCCCCGAAAGTCTCATGCAAAAATTTTGAAAATTAGCGAAAGTTGGGTATGATAAAAACGAGTAATTGCAATTTCCAGCAAATATCTCGTCACTCTTGCAACGAAACACAATGAGAGTTTTACAGCTGGAAAGAGAAAGAAATTCTGCATCGAATACATTTTGAAGTATTTGTTTATCATCATTCTAGCGTGCTTGCCGATGGATTGAAAAAATTGACAAAACTTTCGCACCAACCTAATATATAGTCATATCTAGTCTTTTCTGACTAAACTCGCATGACGAAAAAGGCTTGAAGAGAAAGACATTTTTGAATCACTGTTGAAAGCAAGCAAGACGTTTCAACTTAGTTCATGATTGTTTCGCTCTGTAAAACAGTCAAACAGCTTTAGGGTTGGGCCAGACTGCGCGGCGTACGCGACGTACGCAGCGTACGCCGCGTATGCTCCTATGATGAAATATACCGAGCGTACGCTGCGTACGCCGCGTACGCCGCTTCCCCGCGAAGTCTGGCTCAACCTTTAAGGTAAAGAAATTTTCTTTTACCTCACCGGGAATGATATTTAAAAAACATGTCAAAATGAACTTAAACGTGTCAATTTTTTGTGGCACGTGGCAAGGAGGAAGTTCTCGTAGAATCTGCAAAAAGTTATTCTTACGCTAAAGAACGTGTTATATGAGAGCCTTCTGAAAATATGGGTCCGGAAAAGCACCTCCAGGTCTTAAGTTTAAAAACGTGCACTACTTCAGAAACGATCGTCTGAGTGAACTCTAGATAAAATCACAAGCAATGTTGTATGACGGGTCCTATCAAGGAACAAAGGTTTCAAAGACGACGCAAGGGCATTTTGTTAGAGCGGAGTATCGCGAAGGTTTATAAGTGCAGTATGGCTTTCCTAAGTAATCACGATTTTTATATGAAGCCGGTATGGAATGGCGATTACTTTCTGAACCTTCAGATTATCATCGAAAGTAATTATTCTTCATTCTGAAACTATGCTTAACCTTCGAATTTGTTGAAGTTATTAGAATGTACGATAAAATCTGTTGTATTATAGTTCAAAAAGCTACCCTTTTGACATAATTCTGTGATATGATATTTTCTGCAGGGACAACGGCTCTTATTTAATTTCAGTTAATTTCGGTTTTTTAAAGTTAATTTCCAAACGAAAATTTCAAAGTAGTGCAAAATGACATTTGTTATGGCCCGTAGTGAACCCCTCATTCGTTTGACCTAAGATGAACCATTCAGAGGAACTAAGTTGTACCCAATACTGCCGATTCTTTTCCGTGCTTTTAGATAGTCAGTTGAACAGTCAGAAGATTGTCTGGTCAAGTGTCACGGTCAGGTTTACAGAACGCCTCTTAGCCGAGTTTAGATTTTGGGGTGAGCGACGGAGACAGTGTGCGAAAGAGAGAGATCAAGCAAATATCCCGTAAGTGCTCGTGAGTAACTATGGGACAATCAAGTTGACAAGTTGTTGCGTTACAAGAACGCGCAAAACTGCACTTACCGGGGCCCAAAGAGGAGAGGATCAATGAATAGCTGCGAGAAAATTAAGAAAAGAGTTTTCCTTTTTTGCAGATTTTACTTACAAAGGAATGGTCAGAACTCTAAGTGGCCAATCCAAACAAGCTGCATCCATTCGATGCAACTAAGAAGCTGATTTCAAGTCTGTTTTCTTTATCCGCAGAGCGCCTTTGTAAGTGAAGTTATGACCAGCTTTTATACGAAAAAATCGTACACGAAAAGTGCGAAATTAGGCACATTATTGCCCTTTTCGCTCACCTTTAGGTACTGGCCATATGGAGTGACCTAGCTGCATGTTTTGGTTCAGTACTGAGCCAGGAATGGCTCTGTATGGCCAAGTTTGCCTTCACACACAAATTCTTTGCAAAATAATGGCTTTTAATGGCTTATAATTCCATCCACAAAGGTGGTCTGCAGATGAGGAAGACAGATTTGGAGTCGTCGTTTTATGCTGCATATCTAATGATATGCAGCTTTTTCAATTGGCCACTTCTCTGGCCATTCCCTTGTTAGATTTTTAAAAAGCTGTTTCAAGCAAAAATTACTTCATTTATTTCATTCGATTTGTATTCCAACTTTTTTATTTCTAATGGAACTTTTGCTGAATAATTGTTGCAGCTCATACTTGTTTGCTTGCTAGTGAATTGTTTGACATCGGTCATTCTCGATTTTTTCGACATTGACCGCTACCAAAGATTGCTCGCCGGTGCAGCAAAAACTTTCGCCTTTAGCCGGCCGGCTTAAAATCATAGTCGAAGTTGATTCACATCCACCTACCCTTTTGATCGAATCTGCTTAAGCATAGTACGTGTTTCCTTTCTGAGAACTTTCATAATTTTTATGTCTGAGCGGTTCGCATTCAAGCCAATTGCTCACTGGATGCCGGAATGAGGCGTTCTAGGTCAACGTAAGTTCTCCTTCAGCCGATTGCGCTCAAAAAAGGGGTTACCACTGCCTTATATATAACACTAGTTGGCTTTCCCGGTCCAGCCTCGAGCCATTGGTCACCTGCACTGCAACTAACCCCCCCCCCCTCTCATTAGTTATGGATGACTTACCCCGGGACATTCGCTTGCTCGTGATCCTGAGGTGAAAATGAGCTTCACCGTCCTCCTTTATATGACTATGGGAAAATGCTTTATTGAACATGATAAGCTTTCAGTTCTTTAGAATAACGTAAACAAATCAATAAATCGATAGAAGGACCCAACGAATCATTGCAGAAAGTAGCCTATCATTTGCGCAGGGGAATACATGTGTACAAAATTTCAGCTGAATCAATTGAGCGGCGCGCGTTTTACGCACATAGCCTCCAAACCTACAATTTTGAGTTTTATATATAGATTTAGTTAATACGAATCGAAAGTTTTTCTCAACCTATAAAATGAATTTCACTCAGTTTCAACGCAGTGAATGATCTGAAAGTAAAGGATAAAGGATAAAGGATTTGGCGTCTTCAGTGCCCTCTGCGGGCATGCGCCGAACGCACACTACTTTATAGTCGAAGAGGCAACTGTATGCGTGCGAGCCTAATACGTGACTTGCGGGAACCAGCCGTTTCCAAGTCAGTGCTTTTATCCTCCCAGATTGCTCTGGTATCAATTTAACGGCCACGGAGGTTAGAGGGCTTGGTTGACCCAGGGGCGGGGATCGAACCTGTGTCCGATCTGGTCATAGCGGCGCCTCATACCACTACGCCACTCGTCCCCGATCTGAAAGATGAATTCCGAAGTTTTGTGAGTATTGATAATTTGTGATTTTGGAATGCAGCAATGTTGGAAGCATACATTACGTATGAAAGAAATCTTCCACAATTGCGAGGCACTCCTACGATAAATAACCGGGCACGAAACCAATATTACGAGCGAGTTTAGCCCTATAGTGCACAGGTGATGTTCAATGACAATTATGATCTCTGAAATACCGGCTATTTTCTGCAAGCATCAATCAAAGATTGAAAGCTGAGCCAAGAACCAATTTCAGACCCTTTGGGAAAACTAAGCCAAGAACAAATTTTAGAACTCCAAACAGCAGATTGGAAAAAGCTCAAACGTTGAATAACAGCTATTTGATAGCCAATCTTTTTCGAAAGCTTATAAAATAACTTAAATGTACGCCTAACGCTTTTCATCTGATATTGAATGCTCTATTCTACAAAAAACGGGCATCTTGGGGAATTTTCCATATCTCATATGGATTTTGATTTCAGGCCAAAAAAACTGGCATTCGCATTATATACGTAAAGATACGCACTCATGTTCACGCATGGCTGGATAGTGCAAGGAGGATTGGTGGTCTCAATGTTATAGAAGCCGACGACGAAGTAGGTTTTTATAGATTGTGATAAGATGTTGGAGATTCGGGTGCAGGTTGTTCGAAAAGTTTCTGTTGTTTTTTTAAAGTTAGGGATGGTAGTATCCCACCCGGCATATTGGCACAAGACATGACGGCGAGCTCGCGAATTTCACGACAAACTTGTATTCTGAACGTGAGGTTCGTTCGGTTTTATGGCAGCAATGCAAAAAGTCGACCACAAAATCATTGCAACTTGCTGGAATGAAAGCTTCTCTGCTCAACAGGGCCAGCAAATTAATCATTGGCCTACATGTGCGCATTATTCTTCAAACTCGAAAAGATGACCAGACTCAACAGTTCTCGCATCAACATGTCGTGCATTTCTCAGAATTATTCCCATATGAACCATCAAAGTGGCTGCCTTTCAGTCTTTATAATATACTAACTCCAGCAAATTCAATGTGCTTTTTTGAAGTTGGCATGTTGAAGTGATCGAAAAACAGCTGCTACGTTGATGGTTCATATGGGAACACGAGAATGCACCATATAACGTGTAGAAAAAAAGCTTAAAGGCAAAACTAAAAAGATCTACTCAACAATCTTGTAAAGCAAAGTTTCCGTATACAAACGCTTGCTTTCTGCGCGCACTGCTCAGATGGTAGAATAGGAAAGTCTATGTCAATGGCAATCTCTTCCCACTCCTCACGAGCACTTTTAGTCGAAGTGGCCTTTTTAGATGGGATGTATACTTCAATGGAGGGCATAAAACTTCGATTTTAGATCTGCCTTCCTAATCTGCGGAACTTTCACTTTAGGGCGAGGAGTTCTGAGCGCATAGGAGCTATAATGAATGTGCAAGTAGCATAAAAACGGTAGCAATATTTTTGCTAGCTCTTTAATGGAGCAGTAATATATCAGGGCGCTTTAATCAATAGATACTTCGAGATAAAAATTATATCATACTTGTGTTATTTGAGGGCTAATAGGGTTCTAACAAATCATCTTATCCTAAAGGCACTTTTGATTTTTGCTCCAATAAACGCTCAAAACGGCTCGTTTACTAACGTTGCGACGTTGTCTTTGAAAAAAGACAACGCGTCGCATCTAAAAGCTCTTTTTTGTCTCAACCAGATTCTCGTGTAAAGGCTAGGACGCTCCCGGCGTGGAGGCGACGCGCATTTGAGCCCGACGAATCTAGACAGTAGGCGAGGGTTACCATTTTATCAACGTGAGCGAGGACGGCTAAAAAAGCTAGCTCACCATAGAAAGAGTCACAAGTTTCCAGCATTGCGTCTAGCTAACATCAATGTAGGATCACTAACTCGCCATCGAACTGGCGGATCTTTTCAGAGGACGTAAAGTTGACGCTGCTAGTATTGAGAAAAACTGTATGAAAAGGTGAAAGTGCATGCGAGATTAAAGACGACTACAAGCTTCTCTATAGAGGAACAAACAACAGGAGAAACGGTGTCGGCATAATTGTATGAATATTGAGGGATAGAGTCACTGATGTACATCGAATGAGCGGCCGTCTTATGAGCATAAGATCGGATATACTGGTACAAGAGCACTTCAAATAAGCAAGCAGGCTGCGAAAAAGCTGAGAAGGAGCAACTCTGGGGACAGCTCAATGACTATGTCAGCTCTATTGCACAAAAAGAGATGCTACTAATTGGTGCAGTGTTGTCTACAGAAATGTCAACCACGAATGCGGCACGCGAAACGACGGAAGGAGCGTATTCTAGAATTCGTTACAGCTCAGGAATTGGCCTTGCCAAAAATATACTTCATCAAGAAGACCACATTTCGTTAAGCATGTCAATGGGGCCGCAAGTCGCAGATAGACTTCTGGGATGTGCGCTACAAAGATCACAGGTACGTAAGGACGGCAAGGGGGTGTAGGCCCTTTTGAACCCTTCGCACGCGATCCTCGTTTCGCCGCGTGCGGCGCCGCTGCCAAAGCTAACAAGTCGCATTCACAGTCAACGAGGAATATTCTTGGTTTCAAGCATGTAATATACCTGTGCCAAAACATATCATTATGTTGGACACGAAAGATGTACAAAAATGAAAGAGTATTAACTCATTCGGCTTTCCACGTTTGCTCTGTCCTTTGACCAATCAGAGGCGGCCGTGATAGCCAGCGGTTCAAAAGGGCCGTTTCCCCGGCAAGGTCATTCCAGGTGAAGATTACGTACCGCAACATCGATCGTTGATACAAAGATCTCACCATATCAATCGACAGGAGAAGGAGGACCGTGATAGAATTTGAAACCAATCGACAGGAGAAGGAGGACCGTGATAAAATCTGAAGTACACATCAAATAATAAAAACTTTAGAATGACGCCCGCATAAGAGCGTAAGAATGACTTACCAAAATCGGAAAATAATCCAAACAACTCCTGGATGATTCTGAGGAATAACACTCATCAGATAGCTAACGATCTACTTGGGAGCACGAAGCCAGAAACAAAGAAGTTTGACAAGGAAAAGTGGTGGAATGATGGAGTGCAGATAGTGACAAAAAGCAAAGCAGGCGGCATACAGAGCACGGCAGAAGACAAAGATAGAAGATGCATGTAAAAGTCTTTAGAAGCGGAACGTGAAGACAAGAAAAAAGTCGGAGAAGCGAAAGAAGTGTATGGGTTAGAATTATACGACAGTACTCGCGATGGTAAACAAGGAGTCCTAGGTACGCATGGGTTTGCCATACTGCCTAAGTACTATCCGCCAAAGCGTACCACTCGAGAGCGATGGGTCGTATCCCATTATACCCCGTTATTTTGAGCTTACATGTAATTTCTCAAAGAATGCTCCTGATCAGGCTTTGATAACAGTCGTGATACATATATTGTCCTTATGTAGTATAGACAGGTGCCGTTTCATACCGTCGAATGGATTTGAGGTTTTTGAGTGTGACAATAACATTCTTATTTATTACTTCTTCTTTGTTGTGTGGCTTGGTTGGTCTATGTGTTCACTCACTATTTTATTGGGTGCACCTCGAGTGTAATAGACAAAAATAAAGATAAACACTAAAAGAGTCTATTGGTTTGTCAAGAAAAAAGCAAACTCCGCTAAAGACATCAAAAGACAGCAAACACTACTACAACATCGAAAATGCTCATGAGAGAATTTCAATGAAGTCGCAAGAGATCAATGAACAATGAGCAGGCACTTTGCAAAGATGGCGTCAGCAAACAAATATCCTCCCACCGTAACAGCTGAACTGGTAAATGGACCAGTACCAGCGAGGAAGATGTGTGCACTGCTAAGAAGAAGTGTGCACCGCTATAGTAAAAATGAAGAATGACGAGGCGACGGGTCCAGCGACATCCCCAGCGAGTTTTGGAATGAGAGTAGACAGGCCGGAGTTTCGTGAGTAATGCGTTTTCTGAATCAGATAGTAGCCTAAGAATATCCCGGATGACTGGCACAGAAGCAAACGGTACCGATTAGAAAGAATAAAGCTCACGTAGCTGACTGTTCCACCTACCCACCAAGCTGTCTCATCTGCCACACGCTAAAAATTTTCGAAAGAATACTAGAGGACGCGACTCCGAAGTACGTAGAACTGCCCCCACCAATGCGGACGTGAAGGAATACAGTACAACAGATGCCATTACCGCCGTCAGATTGATCATGAAAAAATGCAGAGAAAAAACAATGTGAGCTTCACGCGAGGTTCCTGGACATGGAGAAAGCATCTGAAACTACCGCACTGCATAATATGGTGGGCATTGCTGAAGCACGAGGTACCAGAAGAATACGTCCGGTGGATCACCAACTACGTACGATTAGCAGCAGGACGTACAGAGGACTTCCACATTGATGTCAGTGTACGTCAAAGATCCGTACTCCCCCCCCCCTTCCCTCCTCTTCATCACAGTGATGGACAGGATAGTCAGAGGCTTCATACAGCAGCTTCTATGGGCCGTCAAAAAGCAGGAACGAATTGGAGATGGATGTAACAATGTGGAAAGAATAACTCCAACTCCACCGTCTGAAAATCAGCACCGCCAAGGCGGAATACATGGAGCTGGGACTCTAAACGCCAAGGACATCCAGATTGCAAGGACGCAGATTAAAAAAACCAATTCCTCAAAAATAGTCCCACCGCGGCAGATGGCACGCTTGAAGACGAAATCACCAGTCATATAAAAGCAGCATGTCTGAAGTGGAGAAACCTCACAGAAGTGCTATGCGACAAACGGATGCCGCTGAAGTTGAATTAGATATACCGCACCGCAGTCCGTCCAACCGCGCTGTATGGAAGTGAGTGGCTGCCGTGCACATGCAAGGATGAACGGAAGCTTGGTCTGATGAAAACATGTATGCTGCGATGGACGATGGGCGTCGCGATACTAGAGCACGTCTCAAACGATACCATATGCACAACAGTTAAAGTGGCCCCAATAGTCAAGTAAGTTCAAGAAAGGCGGCCCAGATGGTATGGGCATGTGAGAAGACGATAGGAAGTACACATCACCAGATTAGAAATGACAGTTATATTTAATTAATTATATTAGAACTAATTTTGGTCCCCGGCAGAAGGCTGAGAAATATACCGAAGATGTGATGGACAGATATGTCAACGCAGACCTGAGAGGACTTGGATTTGATGAAAGTAAAGCTGTAGACCGTGAAGCATGGAAGACACTGACGAGAACGGCAGGCACCGTATGTGGTGATGCAAAGCTAAAAAAGATTAGTCAAGGAATAACAAAAACCCGGACCAAGCACCCGCATCTAGGGCAATCATTTACAACGTGATGTGTAGGTGCCTCGGGACAAGGTAAGCATTATTGATGCAGAATATGCATATGAGTGCAGTCGTGGTTAGCACTCATTGCAAAACATGACAGCTAACTCAAGGCAGTGTCCGGACAAGGTGGGAGTTTTGGGACTTCAGTGCCATGCGAAAGTAGCCCCCACACAGCTTCGCGCAAGTACGAGGTCATGACGTCCGACTTAAAGCAAGAAAAACGATCTGAAAGTGAGGAAACTTACGCCTTGGAAGCGGGGTC